CTCGTTCCAATGACCTGAAATTTGCACACATATCACATTCAACACTACGGAGCTACTCCAACTTCCAGAATCCCATTCCGACCCTCGGATCAAAATCTCAGTATCACGCTCCTAAACCTGAAATCACCCAAGGAGCTAACGGAACCATTAGAATTCCTTTCCAAGGCCGTCTTCATACTATTCCTATTACAGTCAAATTTCCAAAACTTAAGTTCTCATTTAGGGACTAAGTATCCCAAAACTCTCCGAAACTCAAGACCGAACATCCCGATAAAACAAAATAGCAGAAATAAACATGGAGAAATCAGTTAATAGGGAATTAGGGTGTAAATTCTTAAGACGACCGGCCGGGTCGTCATAGAATTTTTACACATTACGTCTGTTGTGGCAGTATTGCGAGAGTTGTAACAAGACTTATATATCATGAGGTGCAATGGGAGCATCAGATTCATGGGATTTCGACTATTATGCTCATAGAATGTTATTTTGGTCCTGTGAATAAAACGGTGCAAGGTGTGAATTTAACAAGGGTATATAGTCATGTTCTGGTACATCGTGTGGTGATTGATACGGTATTCGTATGTTGGAATCAGGCCTGACAGAGAATTCCAGATGTTGGAATTGGGCTCTAAGGCTTATTTGCATAAGTGAAAAAGGATATCTTTAGATTGATCAAGCTAAGGTGCCCAGCTGAGTTGTGGTAGCACGGGTGGGTGCTCGAGGTGTTAAGTAGTTATTTCGGACAACTCAGACGCAGTTCTCAGCATGTTCGAGGATGAACCTATGTTTAAGTGGGAGAGAATATAATAACCCGATCGGTTGTTTTGAACTCTAGCGTGTCGTTCCGCCTTTTAAGGCCATGAGCAGCTTCACTTCAAGTATTACGACTTATATGCGTGGTCGGAATTGAATTTCAGGAAGTTTGGAGTTGATTTGAAAGAGAATTCTCATTTCGGAAGCTTTAAGTTGAAAGAATTAACTAAGATTGGATTTTTGAGTAAAAGACCTCGGAATCGGGATTCGAAGGTTCTAGTAGATTCGTATGATGATTTCAGACTTGGGTGTAAATCCGGATGGGGTTTTGGAAGACCCGGGAATGTTTCAGCACCTATTGTGGAAGTTAGTATTTTTGGAAGAATTTCATAAGTTTGGGTTGAAGTGAATTTCAGTGTTATCGATGTACGTTTGGGATTCCGAGTCTGGGAATAGCTCTGTATGGTGATTCTGGTATTGGGAGTGAATTCGGAGGTCCATGCGTCATTTTGGTGTCATTTGTCTAAAGATAGAAATTTGAAGATTTTTGAGAAGTTTGACCGGAAGTGGACTTTTTGATATCGGGGTCAGATTTTGATTCCGAAAGTTGAAGTAGGTCCGTAATGTAAAATATGACTTATGCGCAAAATTTTAGGTCAATCAGACGTGACTTGATAGGTTTAAGCAACAAAAGTAGAAGTTTGAAATTTTAAAGTTCATTAACCTTAAATTGGAGTGCGATTCATGATTTTGATGTTGTTTGATGTGATTTGAGGCATCGAACGAGTTCGTATCATGTTTTGGGACATGTTGGTATAATTGGTTAAGGTCCCTAGGGCCTCGGGTGAGTTTCGGACGTACGGGAGGGGTTGAAAACACACCATATTTTCTAGTGTTCTTGGCAGCAGTTGTAGGTCTCGCAAATGCGAGAAATAGTTCGCATTTGCGAGTGAGGCTCGCATTTGCGATGGAGCCTGGCCTGAGGCAGAGTTTGCATTTGCGACCTCAGCAGAGTCCGCATTTGCGACTCATTGGTCGCATTAGCGACCTTGGCATGGGAGGCCCATGTTCGCAATGCGAACCAGGTGTCGCAAATGCGACATTTGAGGCCTGTGCACAACTATTAATTTCGTGACTTAGTCCTTTTAGCTCATTTCCTTTCATCTCTTGGGAGCTTTTGGAGCTTTTGGAAGAGGGATCTCACCTAGAACTTTGAGGTAAGTAATTTCTACACAAACATGTGTTAAATACATAGATTATGGGTAGATTAACATATGAAAATTAGGGAAAATCAAGGGTTTAGATGAAAAACCTAGGGATTTGATAAAAACAAGATTTAACCACGAAATTTGTTATAGAATTTAGTAGAAATCATATATTCTTGATCCTTAGGTTATGGGTAACAACTTTCTTCAAGAATTTCTGGAATCCGGGAACGTGTGCCCGGGGGTGATTTTAGGAATCCTTGCATTTAGGGTTGAGAAATTGGTTTAATAATTAAATTATGAACATTTGAGCATGTATTGACTAGTTTTTACCCCATTTGAATAGTTTTGGATCGTGCGGCTCCGAATTGGAGGTTTGAGTGCGTTCTTGAGTTGGAATATAGACTTCGGAGCAAGGTGAGTCTCCTTTCTAACCTTGTAAGAGGGAATTGTCCCCATAGGTGAATTAATTGGATATGTGCTCCTATTTGTGGGGGCTACGTACGCACTAGGTGACGAGAGTCCGTGCGTAGCTACTATTATGCATAAGTTCGGGTAGTCTAGGATCCAAAAGCATGCTCTACTTGTAATATTTGGAATCTTGTTGTCGATTTAAACATGCTTAAATCATATCGAATTGGTAAATGAATTTCTAAAGGAATTAAACATCATTTTCTTGAACGTTAAAGAGAATTGCTATTCCTTTGGGTAATTATTTTTTCCTGATGAAGTCTTGTTTGACTGTTTGAATGCGTGCTTCTATGTGTACCTGCGTCGCATGTATGATTCGCGAGCGGGGTGCTTGTTTATTTATATTTTACCGCATCGCATGTATGATTCTCGAGTGGGGTAATAAATGCATCTATGGTTCGCGCCATTCGACCCTCTGACAGTGCACAATTTAAATATTTGTTGGATCGGGCCGTACGACCTCGGCATAATTTGCACATTCTTGTAATGCTTGCTTGAGATTTACAAATTGATATTGCCTCCCCGGTCTGAGATAAATTGATAAATGATGGATTATGAATTTGGAGACTTTTAAATGCAAAGAGGAATTTTTACTTGTTTCTTGACTTACTTGAGCTTACTGCCATTTCTAATAAATTCATTATTATTCACATTATTAATATATTATTAATGGACTACTAGTAAGTGTCGAAGTCGACCTCTCGTCTCTACTTCTTCGAGATTAGACAAGATACTCACTGGGTACACGTTATTTTCGTACTCATACTACAATTGCTGTGTATTTTTGTTGCACAGGTCCATGTGTGGCTTAGTGGCACGGAGACTTAGGTGAGATGCATTTATCGAGACACCCCTCAGCCAGCAAAGTCTCCTCCAGAATATTGTATTGTATTATTTCATTTCTGTCCACTTTGTATTCCGGACAGTTACTGTATTTTTATGTCATTCCCTAGTAAATGATCATGTACTTGTGACACTGGGTTCTGGGATAATTATGGGATATTTGTATTAATTCCAAACATTTTTATTTAATTCGAAACAGTTATCTTTTAATAGTACAATTGAAGGAAAAATCATAGTTTTCAGCATTATTAAAACAAGGCCTAAATTAAGTATTTTTGATTGGCTTGCCTGACAGCGGTGTCCGGCGCCATCACGACCCTTAGTGAATTTTGAGCCGTGACATGGCAAGTGTCACACTCTATACATCGTGTTACCACTTAGCAGAGTCCTATATTTTTAATAAACAGTCACTATCCCCTGATGTGTGTTGCTTTCCTAATAAAAAGAAAGGAGAACACTCCTTCTCCCGAAGTTACGGGGTCATTTTACCGAGCTTCCACTCACAAAACTTTAATTCTTTTTTTTTAAATAAAAGGCATGTCCAAACACAACTTCAACTTCCAAAAATTATTTTTTCCATATAACTTTAAATTTTTTTTTTCAAGTTACATCCAAAGCTATATCTAAACGCCAGCTTAAAATCAACTTATTTTTTTAAAAAATTACTTTTTTCAAAAACGTTTTTCAAAAAAGTATTTTTTTTGAGAAGCAATTTGTAGATAATTAATTTGAAAAGTACTTTTGAACATCAATTAGTATTTAAAAAGTATTTTCGAATAGAAATTAATATTTGAAAAGTACTTTTGAACAACAATTTGTATTTGGCCAAGATTTAAAAAATATTTCTAAGTGTATTTTTCTCAAAAGTGTTTTTTAGAAAAGTACTTTTGGGAAGAATATTTTTTTCTGCTTCTCAAAAACTGGTTATGCTTCTACCTAAGAGTATATTTTTCATTCTAAAAGTTTGGCCAAATGCCTTTAACTTTCGAAAAAAATACTTTTGGCAAAAAAAAAAAAATAGCTTGGCCAACATGCTAATATTATATAAAATAATTATCCTATAATATAAGTTGTCATGGGACTTTGATAGCTTTTATACTTTTATTTCCTTTCCAATTAATATTTCTTTTGTATTATTTACAAGCATTACCAGATTACAGATAGTATTACTTGTCAGAAAATATTACTAACTCACATGCATAAGAATATTTTTGTACATAGTGATGTGGGGTGACACTCATTTAGTGTCTCCACCGCTGCCACTTATTCAAAAATAGCCTTAAGAACTGTTTTGAAATAATTATACATTGAGTTATATCGATAAGTGGAGCGCTCACATGCACATGATAAATTATATAAGTTGATGTAGAATTAAGATTTTGACCCCCTTGAATATTATTATCGACATATATCATCATATATTGTTAAGTTTTGATATAGATTATATAAGTTGTTGATGTAGAACTGTGAAAACATTACTATTGATTTTCTCATATTTATCACTTCTATCGTTGTTACAAGATGGCAATGTAACGGTGCTACTGAAAAGGAGGCACACGTGGAAGTTAGTGGTGAGCAGTTATTCAGTTGTGTAACAATCATGTAATAAACAACTGTATTAAGTTAAATAGTTAGTTACCTATATCTTAGTGATGATTAGTGAGGTGAAATAATTGTATAAATACACTGAAAAGTTAATAGAACAGTAGACGATTATCATTTTGCTTCTTCACTCATTTCTTTCCCTTTTTCTCACAAAATCTTCTTGAACTTCAACGGGTGAAGTCGTCTCTGGTCTCTCTACATTTTAGCATGATATCATATCAATTGATTCTGGTCCTACACGCAATTTTTGATTCAATTAGTCAAATCGCTATGTGAAATTTCTTCCTCTTCAAGCTCGTCTGTTGCAGCTATGGCGGCCAAAAATCCACTTACACACATCCACTTTTCATGTATACTGGTGATACTCCTGATTCGGTATTTGTTCCTGTCAAACTCACCGGATCAAAGAATTATGGCATGTCGAATAGATCAATGCGCATCACTCTTCGAGCAAAGAGAAAGCTAGGGTTCGTACTAGGTACTTATAAAAAAGAATCCCTTGATAAGGGGCTGCATGAGCAATGGGAAACATACAATGCAACAGTCCTCTCATGGATTATTGACACAGTTTCTGAAGATCTACTCAATGGAATTGTATATGCTTCAAATTCCTACATTGTGTCGAAGGATATCAAGAAGAGAATTGATAAAGTCAATCGCATGAGAATTTTCCAAGTTCACCATCAAATTGCCAATTCATTCACAAGGTATTAACTCTGTTTTTGTCTATTTTACTAAATTTTAGGACCTTTTGCCACAATACGATGCCATAGTTCTCCCTCCTGGTTGTGATTGTGCATGATCTAAGGAGACAGTTGAGCATTTTCATCAAAAGAGGTTATTGCAATTTTATTAGTGAATTGAATGATTCATATGATCAAGTTAGGAGACAAATCTTCTAGAAATCAACTTGTCCTACAATTAATCAAGCATACACTATGATAATTGAAGATGAAAGTCAACATTCATTTGGTTTAAATGCAATTACTACAGATACATACCCTTTAGCTATGCAATTGACTCGTGTATAACCTTACAAGGGAGAAAAGCCATTTGTACAATGTGAGTATTGCAATTTAAGAGGTCATACCAAAGAAAAATACTACAAGCTTGTTGGGTACCCCTCTGATTTTTAGCCAAAGAAGAATTCTAAGCCTGGTAATGGCGGATCTGGAGGTCCAGCAGGCTATGTGGTCCATTTGGGTATGGCAAGCAGCCCCTTAATGCTATCAATAATGTTTTTGTAAATGTTATATGCCATCACCACAACGGATGTAATCTAGGAGCCTAGGACCTGCTGAGATGAAGGCACAATACTTCAGTGAAGAACAATACAAGCAGATTCTTAATTTGCTGAGTAAATGATAAAGGGTGAAAATGCATGTTTTTAGTGTATTTCTGTATTAATTCATGTGTGAGTTGCGGGAGTTCACACTACTTTTGAAGTAAAAATATTCTAATTACGTGTTTCTTATATGAAGGAATGAACTTGCGTAGAAAAGAATCAAATAGGAGCAAAATTAGCAAAAGAAAATCTGAAGACAAAAATCTGGGACAACGAAGCGAGGTTCACTTTGCCAGATCGAGGCCGGAGCAGGAAAAAAATCAGCTTATCCAATCCAAATTAAGAGAAGACAAATTCGCCCCAACTAAATCCTAAACCATACAAATATGATATTTGGCCACTTTTTGAAGGAAGAGAAGACTTTGGGGAGGCAAGATCGCACTTGAAAACAGAGATTCTTGGAAATTGAAAACAGAGTGCGAAAACCGTGAAATTGATCTTGAGTTCCTCTTTTTCCCTTATATTATTGATTTTTATGTATTCTTGGGAATTAATTGAGATTGCTACCATGACTATGCGTGGCTAAACTCGTTCGTTCCGGGGTTATGGTTTTCATGAATGTTGATATTCAAAGATTGATTTGATGATTTAATTTATTATATTAGGTTGTTTATTCATATTCTGAGCCTAATTATTTTACTGCCTATCTAATAGTGAAATAATATATATAAATCTTGAGTTGAACTTGAAAGAGATAATTCTTGATTGCAATATAATTTAATAGAGTGCGATCTTGAACCTAGTTATTGGGGAATTGATCTGCGAATACAAATAGAAATACCTATTTTCCGTGCTTCGCCAATTGTGTAAGAGATTATTAATGCGTTCTTTTTATCGCTAGTTTCATAGAAATATAGGGTTTAGAATAAATTATATAGGCGAGTAGAAGTTGTCAAATTTCTACGAGTATTATTGTCCTCGCAGTTTAATAACCCCGATAGATTGATAAGTCGAGTTGATTGAAGAATTCAACAGGATTGTTATCCAACCATGACCCCGAAATATTATTCTCACTGAATTCAACCCTTCGTGCTAAGTGTGTTAGTTAATTAGTTTTTCTTTTAATCGCAACTCTGGTTCGTAGAATTAATTAAACAAAAATCACCTTAAAACTGTTCTTGACTCGATAAATAGAAATTGCTTCATTTAGTTGATAATTGATCATAAGTCCTCGTGAGAATGATACTCTACTCACTCTTTGTTACATGATTGTCCGCGTACACTTGCGTGTGCGATTTAGAGAAATAGTAAATATGCTAGTGGAGGTCAAAGTATTAAGGGGAATCACATTAATGAGCAGATAATGTAACTTGTATCATGTCCAAAGTAATAGATAATGATGAGTGGATTGTGGATTCTGGAGCTACTCATCATGTAGCTTTTAAGAAGAACATGTTAAAATGTACCACTGTAAAAAAAAAACTCCTGGTAATAAGAGAGTTCATTTACCCACAGGGGATAAGGCAGATATCACACATACTAGCCATGTGTCTTTGTTTGGTACTACAACTGCGAACAATATATTGGTTGTTCCTAATTTCAAGTTTAACTTGCTATCAATATCTAAGCTGACCATGGAAATGTCTTGCTCAGTCAACTTTTTCCCTAACTTCCGTGTTTTTTAGGAGCTTTGGAGTGGCAGGGGTGAAAGGAATTGATATGCATAGATGAGACAGTACATATACAAGGATGCACACACTAATACACATAGCACACACCATCCAATAATAGCAGTAACTCATGGACAATGCATACTCTATGGCATCAAAGACTTGGAAATTCTTCCATACCAGTCATTTGAAGTCTATGAAGTTGTTGCATAATCAGTTAGTATACAATTGAATAGGTGCCCAGTTTTTCCCTTAGCAAAATAAGCTAGATTGTTATTTCCTAGTAGTGATTCTAGAGTTGGTTCACCTTTCCACCTTGTATATATGGATATTTGGGGCCATTGTAAAACTCCAACTTTTGATCACAAGTATTACTTTTAAATTATTGTGGTTGATCACAGTAGATATACATGAATTTACTTATTACAACTTAAATCGTAAGCTACTGCAACTATTAAATCACTCATGTCTATGGTGCAAACACAATTTGGTGTCATGGTTAAGGTTCTTAGAACTGATAATGGCACTGAGTTCTTTAAATCACAGTGCAATGATCTTCTTCAAGGTGTAGGCATACTTCATCAAAGCAGACGTCACCATACCCCTAAGCAAAATGGGGTAGTTGAGGGGAAACACATACATATCTTAAGAGACATTGAGTTTCCTTTTGCCATTTCTTCCTCAAAGAAACAGGCTGCATCCAGTGATCACATACTATTCCATAATATGCTACAAGATCCACCACCTAGAGCTACCACCACTAATAACTCAACTTCAACTTCTTGGCCTGATGGTGACTCTGAGGGATTATTTGGTTCTGCTGCTCAATAGTTTGACCTGCCTCATTTGACACATGATCATTCTCCTTCCTTGTAGCATGAAGGGGAGATGACTTGACTGAGAAGCCAAATTCACTATCAAATTCCTCATATGAGGAGCACAGTCCATCAGATGGAGAGCAAGATACAGAAGTTAATGCTCCAATCACCGAGAGATCATCAAGTTATTCCAAACAACCTGTTTGGATGAAAGATTACATAAGTACCAGACAAGGAAATAGAAAGTATCTCATTTCTAACCATTTGTCCTATGATGGAACCAAACCAACCTATGAAGCTTACCTTGCCAAGTTCTCTACACTGGTAGATCCCTAATGCTTTAAATAAGCAACTAAGGATGCGAGATGGATAAAAGCAATGAAGCAGGAGATAAAAGCATTAGAAGAAAATGGCACATGGGAAGTGATAGACCTTCCAAAAGGAAAGAATGCAGTGGGATAAAAATGGGTCCACAAGATAAAGTATCAATCTAATGGAGAAGTTGCAAGCTTCAAGACCAGACTTTAAAAAAAGGCTACAGTCAGAAGGACGTCCTTGACTATCATGATAATTTTCACCTGCTATCAAGATGGTGACTATGTGGTCTGTCATAGGTCTTGAAATGTCTAGAGGTTAGACCCTATGACAATTGGATATATACAATGCTTTCATGAAGGTGATTTATGTGATTATGTTTACGTGGAGATGCCTGAAGGTATCAGAAGACATGGGAAGTTAAGGGAGTGCAAATTGCTTAAGTCTCTATATGGATTAAAGCAAGCATCTAGGCAGTGGATCGTCAAACTGACTTATGCATTAATAGGTGTAGGGTTTACTCAAAGCAGTCATGGTTATTCCCTATTTATACAAAACAGATCAAAAGACACAGTGATTGTTCTAGTTTTCCGAGTCACCTATCCAATATGTGAGTGAGCCCATCCTACGGATCCTCTTTGTTCAATGGGGGAGGGGTCATACCTTCCCCACCCACTTTGATGACTTACTCATCACAGGTAATGAGCTTATTAGTGAGGGAAAGAAAGTACTGCATCAAAAATTTAAAATGAAGGACCTTGGTGAATTGAGATATTTTCTTGGTATAAATGTGTTGAGGTCCAAGTCTAGAGTAATCTTAATCAGAGAAAGCATGCACTTGAGTTAATATCTGATATGAGATTGACTGGAGCAAAGCTAGTTAAGACACCTTTGTAGTCCAATTCAAGGTTGACAACTTTAGAGTATGACAGAACAATTGGAATCATATGGGATGAGGTTTTACATGGCATTAGCTCATACCAAAGATTGGTTGGAAGGCTAATGTATGTCACTATCGCTAGACCTAATGTCAATTATGTAGTCCAGACCCTGAGCCAATTCATGAAGATGCCTAAGAAGTCACATTAGAAAGCTGCACAAGGATAGTTAAGTACTTGAAAAATTCACCAGGACAAGCAATTTGGTTAAAGGCTGGAGTCACACAAGAATAGATATGTTGGTGCGACTCAGATTGGAAACCATGCCCAAATACAAGGAGGTCAGTAAAAAGGTAAAGAGTCACGTTTGGGGAATCATTGATCTCTTGGAGTTGATATAAGTAGTCTAGTGACTATGTTCAGCGATACCAAGGTTGCTATACAGATTGCAACTGATTTCATTTTTCACGAGAGGACAACACATATAGAAATAGACTGCCAATTCATCGGAGACAAAATTAAGGCAGCGATAGTAAAAACTTCATATGTACACACCAAGGAGAAGCTGTAAGATCTTCAAACAAAAGGTATGGGGCAAGTTCAACATGTTTAGCAAGTTGGGGGCTCTCAATATTTTGAACCCTCCAACTTGAGGGGTAATGTGAACAATAATGTGATAAGTGTGAATTTTAACTACTTATTAGTACCTTCGTTCTTTAGTTTTAGTTTGCAGTTGTTGATTTTTATTCCTAAAACTAATAAAATTGTGTAAATTACAAGCATGTTGGAAAATTGGAGCTTAACAAAGAAATCTAAATAAAAAAAGAGTATTCCGGCTCAAAAAGGCAAGAAGGGGAAAACAAGGCACAAGTGCGGTCTACAGATGTGGCCATAAAATAAAGTGTGGTCCGCAGAAATCAATATGCGGCCACAGAAAGACACAAGATGCCTCAGAGGAGTTTCAAGAAGCGCGATGTGCACATCAAATTGTGCGGGTGCAAAAGCTGGTCGCACTGACAATATTTGAAAATTTCTGAGAAGGTGCAAAAAGAACAAGTGAGAAGCCTCGTCAAAATGCGGTCCACAGACAAAAAGTGTGGCTGCAGAAGCTGAAGTGCAACCGTAGATGGAATTGTGCGACTGCAAATTCCTTCCAGTCTGAGAAAGAAAAAAGTGCGGACAACACATGGAATTGTGCGGCCGCAGAACCTCTCAAAGAGAAATTTTGTCGCAGATTTATGGGCACTATAAATAGACGAAAAATACTTTTGTAGGGAAAGTTTTGTATTGTAAACAATTGTAGTGGTTGTATTTACTCTTTTGGGAAAGTATTGACAATTATTAGAGAAAAGTCATTAGTTTTATCATCTAATTATAGTCTATGAATTTAATTTCTTCTTCTACATTATTTTCTCTACTTTCTAGGATGAGTAACTAGATTTTATCTAGGGTTGTAACCCAACCCTAGTGTGTAAATATTAGGGGTTATTAATTTTAATTCTTTTTTATGATTGAGTGTTTATTATTTAGCCTCGTCTATGTATTATTTCTAGAATTAATAATTGCAATATATTTATTTATGCCCATTTGATTTAGTTCTTACTTGAGAAAGAGGGACTTAGTCTAGAAATATTTGGCTAACAAAAAATTGAACTAGTTAAGGTTTTTGCTAGTTTGATTACATGGTTGAACTAGAGATAGGGAAAAACTGACTTGGGCTCATATCAATTATTTGAATTGCTACCCAATCGGACTTGAGAAAGACAATTTGGACATAACCACTCTATAACCGAGAGGTATTGAGTGGGTACTTGAGAATTGATAGTTATAATATACCCCAATTCACAAAATAAGCATTAACGTAATTTACCCATTAGGTTTGAACCTAGATGAAGGTTACATCCCTAGGCTTTTTCCCAATTGATTAAAAACATCAAAAATAATTATTCTCATTTTAGTTACTTGCAATTAGTTTAAATTTCTTAGTGTTACTTGG